GAGAGAGAGAGAGAGAGAGAGAGAGAAAGAAAGAGAAAGAAAAGGGCAGAAGGGAAGGGAATGGGAAAGGGGGAGAAACTGAGAGAATAAGGGTAGAGGAATCTCAAGTCCGCGAGGGGCCAACTGTGGTAAGGTAAAAGCGCGAAGGCATTATCGAAGTTCGTTGGAGGAGTTTCCTCTTAACGAGGAGTTCCTCCCACTCGCGTAATTAAATTCCATCCCTCTGGCAGGCATCGAGCGTGCTACCAAGCAAGCAAACAACCAAGCAACCCACCCACTACCACCACCAGCATCAACCAGTCTTCGTATGCCGTCCTTTCACGTTAGAAGAAGAGAAAGACTTTTTCGACGACGTCTAGCTATTTTCCACCCCCCAACCTCCATTTCTTCTCCCTCTCTCTCCCTCTCTTTTTTGTCCTCTACGAATCGACCGCATTCTTCGGAAGGTATCAATATCTTTTCCTTGCTAGAAAAATGTCAGGTCAGCTCTCTGGAGAGTGAGGAAGAAAGAAAAGAAAGAGAGAGAGAGAGAGAGAGAGAGGGAGAGAGAAAGGGATAGGGATGAAGCAAAAAGAAAGGTGTTATTCTTTCGGGAGACCTCATTCTCTTTTCCCTTTCCCCCAAGCCCCTTTTTATTTCTTCACGTGAAAACGTTTTACTCAGCTACTATTCACTAGTCCTTCATTCGATATCCAACACGATTTTTCCAAAGTCGATGAGAACCTTAAAACACACACGTAAAAATATAAATTTTTTTTCTCGCGCGCAGGTGTGTGTGTGTGTGTGTGTGAGAAAAAATAAGAAATAAATAAAAAAGAAACGGACGATGAGAGAGGAGGAGAAGAAGAGCAAAAAAAAAAGAATAGAAAAAAGTATAGGAATAACAGAGAAGAGACAACGTGTATCGCCATGGGGTTGGCGCCAGGCATTGATTAATGGACTCCTTCTTGCTCCAGAATGCGTTTCGATGGCAGCGAAAAAAATTACTCAACTGCAGCAACGGGACAAGGGCATATACAACAACAGAAGCAGCGACAACGACGTCGTCGTCGAAGACGAAGATGAAGACGATGAGAACGAAGAGGACAAAAGCATGCTCGATTAATTGAAGTCGTTGCACGTGCCCCCATGATCGTTCAGGGTCCCCCGTGTCGTTGTTGTTTAATCGCGTACGAAGGGCAACGTTGGTGGTTGATTAAGAACTCGTTGAATCGATACCGACGCTCATTTATCACGAGATCCTCTCCCATGTGTGTATCTTATTCACGTGTGTTGTGTTGTAAAATAAATGCTTAGGGTTAGGTATAGAAAACGATGTTGGACAAAAAATTGCTTTGGGAATTGCAAAAAAAAAGAAGAAGAAGAAGAATATTATGTTAGATTACTTTACGTTGATATTTATGCAGATATTATATTTTATCGGTTTATTCTATATTGATGGAACGAAAACTATGTTTAATACAAAAGAAAATAAATGAGTGAAGTAATTGAAATCAGTAAAATTGTTCACTTTGTTTCATATTTATTCCATGAATAATAATTTTGTGATAATTTCATTTCTTTCTTGCTTATCCCCTTTTTTTCTTTTTGCGAATTAATTATTCTTATAATTTTGTTATTTGTCAACATAAAAATGGGACAATTTATTCGACAAGACGAGTATTATTTTTATTTTTATATATTATTATTATTATTATTATTATAATTATTATAAATTTTATTATTATTACTATTTTTATCATCATCATCATCCCATAGCCCATTTTAAATTTAGTAGCATCGTTAAGAGCGCGTTTGATTTCTATCTCCGGTTTCAACCAACATCACATTCTTTTATAAAGATCCTACTCATGAGTTCTCGTTGTTAGTTATTTAGAAAATAAAATTAACGACAACTGAAAGCACTCGACCGCAGAAAACTCGCCTTTTATATTGGACGATAAACGAATCGTCAAAATGAAACGAGTTCGATTTTACGATGAGTATTTCCCGCATTTGCTTATTTCATTTCAATAGCGAAATACATACATACATACATATTTACATACATAGATGCATACGTGTATGCTTACATACACACGTATCGATTACGTTTTACTTTCCGCGAAAGTATCAACTTGTTGAGGTAAATACAATCATGATTTCAATGTTCTCTGAAGTAATAAACTGTATATACTCGTATGCATTCTCTCGCAGATCATCGATATCGAGGAATTCACAAACTAATATATACAACTATAAATATATTGAGTCAAATGTAATTCACGTTTGTTTCGAGTTTAAATTTCGGTTCAATCAGTTCAACGGCTCAATTTTTCACGAATTCGAATTTATTCGAATATTGGGTTACCATTAATTGCAAATTTCTTGTTGATTGATATTTGTAATATACGAGTACGGATTGAACAGTTTTGAGACTACGACGAAAATTAAAAGTAAGTTTGACCTACAAGAAAAATGATTATTACGTTAGGCTTAAGACTTTTCAATCCACCAGTCACTTACGTACAATAATTTTTCTGAAAATTTTTTTACCGGCCAACCAAATACTTATCACATTCAATTGCTTGCAAATTGTTTGCGCGTTTTTGAAAAATATCTTACGCAAAATTACAAATATAATATAGAGATAAAAATATTTGTTAATTTACATTTGCATATACGAAGAATCCTTGAAAATATCGATTGTGTTCCAATTACTTTAATATAAATCGAGTGGAAATTTTGTACTTTAACTTTTTCATTCTTTCTTACTCTCTCTTTCTCTCTGTCCTTTTCTCTCTTGGTCCGAACGTAGCCGAAATGTCAAATAATAATATTAACGTACATTAACTTGGCTATTACAAGCCGCAAATTGAAGTTGATAATTAACGACGAGTCGCATCTAACTATGCATTACGAGTTTCATTATGGAACTAATTAACGTGAACTAACGCCGACTCGTGCATATTTAATAGCGAAACTTTACTGTTGTCTATGCAAAATGGAACGCATAACGCATTTTTAGTACCGTTCAACTTTTCGAGAAGAGACGATCTTCTTTAATTTAATCAACCAATCTAAAGCCGTACCAAACGACTTGGGTAATGATAATTAACGAGCATAACTTGCCGATTCTAACTTTATTTCACATTTATGATTATCTCTATGTGAAAGTATTTTTTTTGTATATAATATATATTTCTTACAATTGGATTGTTACAGAATTATCGAAAGAGGATTCGGATCGATAAGAAATGGTGGAAGTCGAAATCGAGATCGAGCGAGCGTACGAAAATCTCTCTCGAATGGTCTAAGAGCCGAAAATCGCAAAGTCCGTGGAAACGCTGAGGTTCTACATCGTCCCTAATTGACAACAAGGGAAAGAGAAAAAGAGAGAGGGAGAAAGGAAAAAACCTTCAAGCTGGAAACTCAAACGTAAGGAAGAAAGACGGAAAAAGGAGAAGAAGAAAAGGAAGAAGAGAATAAGGTATCTGGAACGGCATTTGAAATTTACGAGTAAGTCGGTGGCTCCTGCTAGTGTAATAGAACGACTCGAGTAAAAGAGAAAGAGAAAGAGAAAGATAAAGAGAAAGAGAAGCAAGCACATGGCATAACAAATGGTCAGCTGTAAAACCGGCTCAGGACAGTGAAACGACACCGGAAGTAGCTAGCCAAGGAATACTCGAGGTGCCAGAAAGGCTCGTGTAGAAGTCTATTCTCTCGATAGCTCTCAACTTGTTCATACGAGGCAATCGTTACAATTTTTCATTCGGATTTAAGAAAGATCGATGTAACGAAGAAATTGTCATCGATTCTATATAAATCGTGAATGCAAATTTTCGAAGTTACTGAAAGAAAATAAGAAATTCTTTAACCGTCCGTTGTACAATGATTATTTTATCATTTTTATTGTTTGTGGAAAATTGATGAAAATAATAAAATATCATCGTAATGACAAATCGTAGGTGAGCATTGGTTTGAACAATAAATCAGTGAGAGCGTAAGAGAAAAAAAGGAAGAGGAAGAGGAAGAGGAAGAAGAAGAAGAAGAAGAAGAAGAAGAAAAAGAAGAAGAAGAAGAAGAAGAAGAAGAAGAAGAAGAAGAAGAAGAAGAAGAAGAAGAAGAAAAAGGGGGAGAGAAGGAACCATCTTGGGTTCAGCCAGATGGGTTAAAGGTGAAACGCGATGGAAGGCGCGATTCCGTGCCGGTGGATGCAAAAGGGCGCTGTTCGCGCTGTTACTGCTGCCCTTTCGGAAGCGCAACAAGTGACAACGCCGTGCAACTGCTACTGCTGTTGCTACTACTACCACTCTTACTCCCCGATTTCCAGACGTCATCTGCTTTATCCAGCTAGGAGTCGAGAGGATTCGATTCCGTCTACTTGAACGTAAAGAAGACAAAAATCAAAGGAAAGGAAAGGAAAGGAAAGGAAAGGAAAGGAAAGGAAAGGAAAAGAAAGAAAAAGAAAGATAAAGAGAGAGGCAGAGAGAGAGGGGGAAGGATACGGGTCAGAGATCGTTGGCAAGGAACAACCTCCGTTAGCAGGGATGCCTGCTAGGATGAACTTCTTAGAAGCTATCCAAAGAAGATTATTTCCTTCTTCGTCCTTCTTATCTTCTTCTTCTTCAACCTGCATTTTCACGCAGAAATAGGTACGGCCAAGTGTCCATGGCGACTTTGTCTGTTGAGATACTCGATGAAACTACGTTGGACAGAAAGACGATTGCTGAGAATCTTGGAGGATTCTTGGTCTGGTATTCCTTGGACTGTGCCTTGAATTCTACAAACGAGAACGGACCGCTATTATTCGTCTAATCTTAAAACGAGCTTTGCGAGAAGAGAATTATAGAGAAGGAAAAAGAAAAATTAATAACGGTACAGAATAAGAAGAAAAGAGGATCAAAAGGATTTTTTTTAACACTTGTTACACTTTTTGTATATCTTATTTTGGTTATTTGTTTTCGATCCACTGACCACTTTTTTATCGTTCGATTAATTCTCCTCGATCTTAGTGTTGCGTGTAGTGATTCGATTGTCGTCGTCGTCGTCATCGTCATCGTCATCGTCATCGTCATCGTCATCGTCATCGTCATCGTCGTCGTCGTGGTGGACGATGGTGACGAAAATCTCTGCTGTCGATGCTGGCGTCGCTCTATTGGGCGCCGTCGGTTCGCGTTGTGTCGTAAAACAGGCGACGGTGAAGAAATGCGTCGCAGCGCTCCTTCTTGTCTCCATTGCCAGCATCTTTTATTACACTCACTACGTCATCAGCAGTCCTCTCTCTAGGTAAGTCAAATTATTTTACATTTTTTTTATTTTTCTTGTTGTTGCTTGGAAGTAGGGCAAATATATTATTAGTAATTTGAGTACCCAAATATCTGTAACTTACCAGATGTTTACCTTTTCTTTTTATTTCTTTGCGTTTGTTTTATTTTTAGTTTGAAATAGACAAAATGATTGTAATTTGCGTATACCTGGTTCTATTTGAGAGCATATTTTTCGAGTTATATTTGATTCTTCGGGTAGGTGGGTTAGTAGGGTATTCCAGTGGATTTACAATTGTATTTACATTGTTCATTATTCGAGATCCTGTTCTATAAAAATACTTACACATCAGGAATACTTATAACCGAGTTATTAGTATCCTCTTACGACACATTGTATTGAAATGATGAACTAACCGAAACATTGGAACTATAACCCCGAGGGCATCTTATTATGTACCCAGTAGTTACCTGTTTCTACTGTGTTGTAGCAGCTGTGATTTTAACCTCTTTTAGACTATTATTTTTTCGAACCTGAGCCCAAAAAAATATTTGTTTAGGCAAAAGTTACCGGGTTTATCTTTTTTTTTTTTTTTTTTTACATAAACTAATACATTTTCATTAGAAAAAAGTGTTGGTTTCTATTGAACAGAAATTTTACTTTTAAACGATCTTGCAACTTAATGCTAAATAAAAATAGTAATAATTATTGATGTAATAATTCCTTGCTTAAAAATTAGATAATTCTTGTCTTAATGTATAATTTTATGGTGATCAAAAAAATAAGATTGAAAAAATACACGTGCAATCGCATATGCAAATATTAAAGTTTGCGAGTTCAAAATTACGTAACATTTAATTTTGAATGTTGTGGATTGTCGTCGTCTTCGTTTTCGTTATTGAAAAAATAAATCGTTGTGCAATTTATGAACGTACATGTATATGTATGGATTTTATATAATATTCCGTAGCGCGAAAATTTTTCGATTTCCATCGAATTTCGAACACTGCCTCCCGAAAAGCAGACGAGACAAAATCTGTAAACGTGGCCGCGTATGTTTCGCTCATTTGCAAGTAAATTGCTCGTTTGCAGATTCGCGTACGAATTGTATGTATGATTTTAGCATCGCCCACCACCAGCAGGCTGGTCTTTCGAAAGGTAGTATGGAATACATACTCCGAAACAAGTATACAATTGAACGCTCTGCGGAGATTTTGATTAAAATTACGCAACTATACGAAATCGAATTGAATTCGGACAGAACGAACGAGTATTATCTATAAGCGTAGATAAAAATTTACAATGGACGACTGCTAACAATTTTTTCGATTAATACAAATGTTGGATAGAAAAAGAACGAAAAATGATCGATCTCTATATTTATACATTTATACGCTTCTATCTATTTATTTAATTCCGAATGTATTTTTGAGTAATTTTCTTTTGGTCAGTATTCTGATAAAAAAATAGTATAATATAAATAATAATTTTATAAATATTTATAACAAGTATTGCGCGCATTAAGTCCACATATCGAAACGAGTATTTTATTACGAATATTGTTTCCAACAAAAACACAAAAGAGTTAAAAAATATTAAATGATAATATTTTTCAGTATTTATAATCAAGGGTTGCGTCAGGGTTTACCATATGTTAATATTTTATTAAAAATATTAATCGATAAAAAAAAGAAAGTACTCCCACAAATATTTAATCAAATGAAACTATTATTTGAAAACACGCTCGGTCATTTATTTAGTATCGCACGCTTCTGGCAATTAATAAATTTCTCAATGAGAGTTTATTAAAAGGCTTATTAAGAAATCGTCGTCGTTTTGCTTGATAGTTTTAATTGCCACGTGTCCGAGCGTAGCAAAGCAGATCAATTACGAGCATAGTGCTTCACGTTCTCCCTGACCGTTGACCAATTTGCAACAACTCGAAAACTTGAACCACACGCGTATACACGGACAAACCAACACACACACACACAAACAAACATTTAACACAGAGAGATAGACCGACCTATCGTATGGGACGGTGTTGCGTGCGGCGTTATTCCCAGTTAGCGTCTAAAGACGTTTCTACAACGTCAAGTCTCGTAAACTTCATGCAACTTTGGTACGCGACGACTAACACAGGCGTACCAATTAACGTATTCTCTTGGCGTTCACGCCCCCCTTCTTTCGTATCTATCTTTCTTCTTTTCTCTTTCTTCTTTCTTTCTTTCTTTCTTTCTTTCTTCCTTCCTTCTTTCTCTCTGTCTCATTTTCTTTCTCTTTTATGTCTCAATGATGTGTAGCTCCCTTTCAACGTCGAGTGACCCCTACCCAGCGGTCAACCGCCTCTTTCTTTTGCGGCCTTCTCTCCTCAGCACCGTGTTTTTATACATGGATGAAAAGAACACTACCCCACTGCGTCTCACTCTTCTGTAATAAGTACACGTTGACACCCATAGAAAACGTCTCGTCGCCTTCATATTAAAATAGGCGATATGAGATAGAAACAATGGTAGAAATAGTCAAATGTTTATCAATGTTTTGGGCCAATATTTTTAATAAGCATCTTGTCCATTAAATCATTAAATTGTCTGTACAAAATGTATTGTTTTAAAATAATGGTTAATATGTGTGATAATATCAAATCATATTTTTATTAAATATTCTTATTAAGTATCTTGTTAAATAACTGGTCAATATGAATAAATATTTTTGATATAAGATACTTTTTGTAGATTAAACTGATAGTATATTTCATATCCGTTAAAATTGTATTATAAATACTAATCGAATAAATATTAGATTACAGATAACGTTAATTTAAATAAGAGTTTGACGAGAAAATGAATCGAAAATGTTTTAGGATATAATTCGTATATCTCAGAAAGATTTGAATATATTTATGCAAAGAGTTATGTTATGTTATGGTGTAGGTTAGACACAGACGAAGTAGTAGCAAGTTGATTTCCTCTCAGTGAAATCTCGTTGGAAGAACGTTACTTGGCGTTAATATAAACGCAAGCCGAATTCGAGGATATCTCTGAAAGCCGAAACTACGAACTGGCGAACTAAACGCGAGGACGAGGAGTAATAGTTTGTGGACTCGGCAAATTGGTGGGTGCCTTCGACCAAGCCGACGACCCAATTTAAATCAGGATATACGCACGTACTACACCCTAGTCTGGCACCCACACACGTCATATATTTCCGTAATGTAACCGGTCTAATCCCAATTTTCCTCGATCTCTACGACGAGCTTCTGGCTTCGCCTAATAGTTCTCTCCGACGGAGATACGAATAAGAGAAAGAGAGACAGAGAGAAAAGTGGTGGGGTTAGGGAAAGGGTTTCTAGGTATAGTCTTCTCTCTACAGTTAATTAGAGGAGTCGAATGACCTAGAGAGTAACGCTAGCATTAATCTACACTCGATATGAACATGGAGTCCAATTTATGTAAGATAATTAGATACTTCAATATGTTATTTTCATTACCTCTTCAAAATTCTACGATACATTTTGGTTACTTCTATTCTACGATTGAATAATTGTTTTGAAAAGAAATAATGTAGATACACCTTTGATTTAATTTTCTTCTTTCTTTTTTCTTTTTCGAGAGAGGGAAGGGGTGGGAATTTATTTTATTCAACGAGCTTTTTCAAGCAGAACTAACAAAATTAATTGGAAGTGCATTGATCGTTCTTAACTTTGGATAAAGCTTCTCCTCTTGTGTAAATGTACGAAGCTCGGTCCTATAAACTCGAACTCCTCTAGCAGTTTAGATTTAGATCGGGATCGAAAGTTTCGTCTCAGAATGGTCAGCTTTCCGAAGTGTTTGGACGTAGATCGTAGTGATCTATGAAAGTCGAAGAACATGCAAACGAACGAGAAGCATAATGTTTCGCTAAATTTACATCCGCTTAGAGAAAGTGTTTCTTTAACTATATCACTATTATTTTAGACGATTCATCACCGAAAAGAAAATATCCCTAGGGGCTTTTATTCCTAATTTAATATTTTATTGTTTTTTTTTGCAAATGATTTAAAACCAATGTATCGGTTATGCTCAATTTTTTTCATGATTCCATCGACTTTTCCAATTATTGGTCGATCAGAACGAGATGCACCTTTGATATCAAAATTTCTAAATCGAAAACTATTGAATCAACTTTGTAGCACGCATACGAATACTAAGTCATCACGTTCATCATAAATAATTTCATCAACCTGAATCGTATTTTTTTCTTTTTTGTAATTAAGTTCCAAAGTGCTTCAAATTTCTTTTTAATTGTCACTTATTTTCAAAAAACGTAATAATTTTTTAATGTATTAATAAATATGCCAATTGCTATTATTTTTTTTTTAATTATTCTATGATATATCAACGTTCAAACGTACGTAACTATTGACAAATCCGATTAATGTTATTTGAATCTATCTACCAGGAAAATACGAAGAAACTTTTGTCTCAAACCAATAGATATTTTATCGGATAAATGTTGTGTGTGAGCTATTTAAACGATGCATATAGTTTGAATCATCTTAACATCTTAAGGTAAATCGATGTCGAACCGATACAAGAGTAAATCAATCTTAAGGGATAATCTATGATCACGTGGATATTCTCTAAGCAATTCCAACTCCGGAATAATCCGTCGTCAATCACGAAACCTAATATCCCAACATAGACATTGACATACAATTTCGCATCCACGTTGCTGGCGGAAATCTCCTAACCAACCATGTGCCTCAAGCTAGATCGTTCTAGCTTTACCTTAACATCTTCCAAGCTGAATCGACTTGTCCAGTTGATGTGAATCAATGTTAACAGTACCGGGTCTTATCTATTATAAATGGTTACCGTAACATTGACTGACCAATACCAAGATTTCAAATTCTCGGGTCGAATTTTACCCATCGATCTCTTTTACGATACTTCCGTTCAAGACTTTTAACTTTAAGTATACTAAATAAATTTAGAAAATCCTATAAATTGTTCGCGATTTCTCTATTAAAAAAAAAATCA